GAAGGCAAGATTCGTCGAAGGTTCAATGATCCCACGCTCCAACAAGAAGGCAAGATTCGCTTTGCACCGCCTCAACGTTATCCTTGAGCCGAATCGTCGCCTTGAAGGACCGGTCAAGAACAACGTCGCTGGGAATGTCATCACGAATGACATCCGAATAATCTTCCATGATCGTCTCGGCAGCCTTCTGCTCGAGACTCGTGGCACCATCTGTCGGCTGAGCCATCTCCAACAGGTTGCACAAATGTACCACGTACCATTCCGAATCGTTCTGCTTGAGGTCTCTCACTGCCTCAGTGTAAGAAAGTACCTGACACAGCGAGGCGTCCGCAGCCCCAAATTGCTTGTTTGTCGGGCAAACAAGTAACGGAAGCTCGACCATCTTCTTGCGCCACTTGGCAAAGACTCTGGGGTGACCCGCATCAATCACGATCTTGTTCGCACGCATCCATTCCCATGAGAGGATCATGTCCGCATGCGGCAAGTCAAGCATGTAGAACGACCCACTACTCTTGAAACTGGAGCCTACGCCCAATTTTGTCTGGAAAACCATATCAGACAACCTACACGTCCCATCGGCCATGATAACTCGTTTGCGAACTTCTGCATCCGTGACCGACAGACCAAATTTGCGCACTGCCTTCGTGCTGATAAACGACTCTTCAGCAGCTGTATCGAGCAATGCATTAAGAACTATGGATTGATTCCCGAACCGAAAGGTCACAGGTACCATAGGTAGAGCTTTGATCCTGTGAGAGTCAACGGTGATACGACATTGACGAACATCCCTAGGATCTTCTGTCGGAGGTGTGCCCGGGTCGAAGACAACATTCGAAGTCTGCAAACCCGTGCCCCCGTCGATTGCGCCCTCCGCGGCAACCGACGTCACTGGTTTAAAGCTGACGGTTGTTCAGACCTCGACAAGAGAGGGCACTTGTCTCTGAAGTGACCGAACTTCTGACAGTTGTAGCACTTCACCTTCTTCTTGTCGAACTTCTTCTCCTTGCCCTGCATGTCCTCGCTCTGAGTAGGAGCCGACCGCTTGCCCTCATGACGAGGTTGTGCTTGGGTGAAATGAAGACTCGTCTGACCGTCTTGTGGGTGTCTCTGACGCAGATTAAGAGCTTCGCGATACAACTGCGGCAAATACTTGCCCATCTCCGACGGCTCCGCATGATAAGTAATCCCAAACGTCTTACCATCGCGTTCCATCAGCATGCTCAATTCCTTCCGTAGCATGGCACGCGCATAGTCCATTTGAATCCCATCGACAAAGGCGCGTTCCCAGCTACCTAGCGCGACACTAGGTCTCTTGGACACAAGGTAGCACGCCTGCAGGTGTGTAACCATCGCCTGGAATCTTGCGGTGTACGCCTCGACGGACTCCTTGGGCCCTTGCCTAGCCTGCTTCTGCACATGACGCTCAAGTTTCTCAATAAACTCGAACGGTAACCATTTCAACAACAGTTTCTCCACAAACTGTTCCCAATCACCATGCTCAGCTGAGAACTGATCTTGCTCAGCCATCGGGAGTGTAGCCCACCATAGCTGCACCTCCGGCCCGAACGCAGAGATGGCCGCTCCTACCCATCGATGGCGTGCTATACGGTGAAATTTACACCTGCCTTCGATATATCCGAGCCATGAGACCACCGACCTCTCCATGGTCTGCTCACCATTGTACTGCAACAATGACTTCGGATCCAGCTTGCAAATCTGACCACCGTCATTCTCCGCATGCTTAAGCTTGTGAGGCTTGTCCTCGGGTTCCCGAACCCGCTCACAAAGCAGTACACGCATCTCCGCTGCCTCCTTGGCAAGCCTACGGTTCTCTCGCTGGGATTCCTCAAGTGCCCTCACAAGATCCTGGAGTTTGCGATCAGCTTCTCTCTGGGATTCTGCGAGTGCATTTACGAGATTGTGCATCTTATCCATGTTGTTCTGTTCCACAGACCTGAGCTCTCTACATGTCCGGCGTAGGTGCTCATTTTCTTCCACGATGTCACGAAAACTGGCCTTCAAGGGAAGGGCGGGACCATCTCTTTCGTTTTCATCCCTACTCTCCAACCATGAAGGCACTGTACGACCACTGTCAACACTATCGTCACGTACAACAGCCTCCTGCTGGATGACAGTTTCCGACGGATCGTACGCATGTGACTGCGGCGACATGCCTGTCACCGTAGGAAAGCGCGGCTCTGCTGACCCATTCAATGTCTCCTTCACAAAGCTGCCCAACCGCGACATGCTTCGACTCATGAAGTCCGAGACAACGCTACCTGACTGAATGCTCGTCCTATCCATGTTTTCTTGAACAACTTCTTTCAACACAACAACTCCGAGAGGAAAACCAGGCCTTCGCGTACCAAAATGTTAGGAAAACTTCCTAAAAGTATCTCTCGATCCAGTGTTGACACACGAAGTGATCCCGTCAAGAAAGCGGAGAGGATCCCCTGACAGCCATCCG